AGTTGTGTCGATTAGCACAGAATTTTTTTATATTTTCCAGAATCCGATTACTGAAAACAGTTTATTTTTGGCAAATTTTAAAGTGAGACATGTGGAGTGTAAAGGCATTTTTTATGAAATATGTTGATTTTAAGCTCTGATTTGTTAAAGTTTTGCTTTAAACTTGTGACATTAAGTTTATTGACAGCTGGTGAGTTTAAAATTGGAGGAATTTTAGTGTTTTTAAAGTTTCCAGCTCCGATAAAAGGTGTCATTTTAGTGATTTTTTTAGGTCCTTTCAAACGTTGACTGCAGTATGAAGCCCTGCACCTCAAACGACACCATCACGACTACAAGTAGAGAAAACTTAAAGATGTGCAGTTTGACACAGTTAGAAGGACGTGAATCATCAAATGGAAAAGTTGAATTGTTTCATGTGCTTAACAGAAGCTGCACCTGGAACCGGCCCTGTTCAGGTGTAGCTGCTGACTCCACGTCCTGAAGACGTTTCACTGCCCACATCTTCCTCTTATCTCACTTTGCTTTGTGTAAACACAGCCTGCAGTTCAGCCAAAAGCTCCTCCGTTTTTTTGTCACTTCAGTGTTTTTTTTTTTTTATCAGCTGGGTCACTGAAAGCTTCTCGGCTCTACGGAGGGACGCAGAATTTCTTGTTTTTCACAGAATCAGGTTTTTTGCAAACGGTTTATTTTTAGCAAAGACTTGGAAAAAATTTTATGAAACAAACTAAGATTTTTGTTATTTTTTCATGAAACAAGAAGGAGAGAAACTAAAAAAAAAGGCGTCTGTACAAAATGAGGCAGTTATGATGTCATGAATCATAATTAAAGAAAGAAAAAGTGGAATTTCTTTTATTATTCTGAGCCTGCAGGTGTTTAAATCAAACCCTGACCCTACATACTATAGGTATTTTACATTTGCCTGCAGTTCAGCTGAAATCTCTGAATTTTTCACCACGTCTTTGCTCGTTGCAGCCGAGTCACTGATGGCTTCTTGGCTGCACAGAGGAACTCAGAATTTTTTGTTTTTTGCAGAATCTGGTTCGAGCAAACTGTTTAATTTTTGGTGATTTTTAAGTGATTTTTGATGAAATCTCACCATTTTAAGCTCAGATTTGGTTGATTTGTACTGAAGCAGATGCAGCTTATCAGGTGAAGAACCGTCAGAAAGTTGAAAATACAACAATTCTCCCTGTTTTTATGGTTTCTATCTGATAAATGGTGTCATTTTGGTGATTTTAAAAACAGATAACATCCTTTAAACCTTCACTGGCAGGTTTTGCGGTTCAGAGAGTTCATGTCAGAGTTTTCTGAAGCGGATCCAGATCTGTGCCGTGCAGCGATTCACCTGCACGTTGAAACCCAGAGGATAGTTTACTATAACGAGCGCCGTGTTAAATAATGTAAAGTATTCAGGAAGCCGGTTGCGCTGCAGCCGTGCGGCATTCCTGCCTTATCTGATGCTACGTGCATAAATTCTCAGAAGCAGGATGTTGATGTCGAGCGTTTCTAAAAGCAGAGAATGTCAAGGTCCTCGTAACAGGATTTCCACTTTTGTCCTTTGTCTGAGATAATAAACGTCACAGCGATGACTTATAATCAGGCTGTTCTCATAAATCACACCTCAAACTGGTCGGAGTGCGTGAAGCTCTGCAGCGGCTCAGAGAGACGTCAGCTTTCTGAAACGTTTGTGTAATGTTTGACATGTTCGTCTTCTTGGTTTGGTATTTTAGCAAGTGTGCTAATTAGCACTAAAGCAACTTAAAGATGCATAAATACACAAAATACATTCCTAAACCTTCCCTGAGGTACGAGGGGAAATACATGCATTAATGCTCTGAACCCCAAAAGTCAAGATAGTTGTAATCTCATGATATTTAAAATAAAAAATAAATCACTAAAATAGCACAATTTATCAGAGCCAGAAACTGTAAAAAACAAAATACTTGTCATATTTTCATCTTTCTCACAGCCCATGAGCTCATCCTGTGTGATCTACAGTTCTGTTGGGAAAAATCACCAAATCTAAGTTTAAAATCTTGACATTTAATCAAAGTTGCTAAAAATTAGCTAAAAATGAACCATTTGCATTAAACCGATTCTGTAAAAAACAAAAAAATCTGTATTTCTTTGTGCAACTGTGTGGTTATTACTGTCTCAGCTGTGAGCAACAGTCATGTGACAAAACATAAATGTTTCTTTAATTAAACTGGGCTGAGCTGCAGGCAGTGCTTACACGGAGCAGACTGGTGACACTAAAAACCTGCAGGTGGGTTTTAAATACACGCTATTTATTTAAAAAATCACCAAAATTGCACCATTTATTAGAGCCAGAAACTGTAAAAATGAAATATTTGTCAGATTTTCAGCTTTCCAACAGTCCTTGAACTACTCCTTTGTGGTGTACGGTTCTGTTGGGAAAAATTGCCAAATCTAAGCTTGAAATCTTAATATTTCATCAAAATTGCTTCTGTCCACGTGTAAAAAAAAAATTGCTAAAAATGAACCGTTTGCATTAAACCGATTCTGTAAAAAAAATAAAAAAAAAATAAAAAATTCTTTGTCCAGCTGTGTGGTTATTACTGACTCATCTGTGAGCAACAGTCATGTGACAACAAATAAATGTTCCTTTAATTAAACTGGGCTGAGCTGCAGGCAGTGTTTACACGGAGCAGACTGGTGACACTAAAAACCTGCAGGTGGGTTTTAAATACACGCCGTCTATTTATAAAATCACCAAAATTACACCATTTATTAGAGCCAGAAACTGTAAAAACGAAATATTTGTCACATTTTCAGCTTTCCGACAGTCCTTGAACTACTCCTTTGTGGTGTATGGTTCTGTTGGGAAAATTCACCAAATCTAAGCTTAAAATCGTGATAATTCATCAAAATCTATTTATTCTACATATATCAGTTAAAAACGTGCCAAACATGAACCCTTTGTGCAACCGTGTGATTATTACTGACTCAGCAGTGAGCAAGTCATGTGACAAACAACATAAATGATGATTTTCTCCTTCAAAAACAAACTAATATGTTATTATTTCTGTTAATTTGTTGTTCGTTTCCAAATATTTATCAGTAAAACAGTCAAGAGGTGGAAAAAAATCTGCTAATTTACTATTTTTATAGTGTCTGGCTCTGATAGACGGCATCATTTTGATGATTCATTAAACAAGATCAGATGTGTTTTAAACCTTGCTGCAGGTTTCAGGGTTCGGAGGGTTGATGGCTGGTTATTTGTGCTCAGTGAACGTAGAAATAAAAGGAGGTGGAACGACTGGAACGAGTGCAGTAACGGCAGCGTTTTGTCTCTAAACATATATGATCCGTGGGTTCTCACACTGTGTCCAGTGTTTGTGGAGAAACACAAAGAGGAGGAACAGCACAACAGGCCCAGTGTTTGTTGTGGCCTTCGGCTCCGGTTCAGGCCGTTCTGTCTGCTCGGACCCGCTGCCAGTGCATCGGGACGGGAGGAGGACGGAGGAGGACGAGGGAGGATGGGGGAGGACGAGGGAGGACGAGGGAGGACGAGGGAGGATGAGGGAAGGAAAGGGAGTGGATGGGAAAAGAACACAGAGTCAGCACCGCCGGTCACAACCAGGAAGTCTGTGTCAGGCTCCACATCCTCTGTAGAAACCGGACGTCCAGCTGTTAGTCACTTCATCCTGAGTGACTTCACGTCATTGAGGAACAAAGTGATGAAGGACTGAACAGAGATCAGTCAAATCAAGTTTATTGTCATTTTGCTGTATATACACAGTAGTACGGACAATCAACGGACATTATTATTATTATTATTATTATTATTATTATTATTATTATAGAGTTGTTCACACTTCTCAATCTGGTGGGACCAATATTCTGCGTTTTCACAATCATCAGTGTCAGGGTTAGTATGTGGTTACAGGTCGTATTGGACATGTTTTTGATTACAAAGGACAATATTCTCCTTTTTTTCCACATTATCAGGGACAACTTTCAGTATTTCTTCTTATTCTAAGCTGATGTTCTGTGTTTTTGCTGATTTCCTGGGCTGATATTTTGCATTGTTAAAATTGTCGAGGTCAGTGTTCTGCATTGTTTTTATTGCAAGGCCGATATTCTGCATTTTTATTGATTATCTGGGCCAATTTTCAGCATCTCTGTGATCACAAGGACTGATATTTGAAATTTTTTTGATTATCTGGTGCTGATATTCTGTTTTTGTTTTGTTGTTTTTCTTCCCCCTAATGATTGGGGATTAGTATTTGGCGTTTTTATGATCGCTGATGTTCAACATTATTCTGATTATTAGTACTTTGTAATGACTGCTCACCAATAGGACCCACAGCGCTGTCTGATTGGTCATTTATCAGCCAATCGACTCTGAAAGCTGCTGTTTGCAGACGAAGACGTTCTGCAGCGTTTGTGTTTGCAGATGTTGCTGAAGTTCTGATAAACAGTTGAATCTGTTCTGATAGAAACGTCTGTGTAGCAGAGACGAGAAACCTGCAGAAACCAAACAAGAAGCACAAAAAAATCAGGACATCAGCTGCTTTCACTTAGCTAACGGCTACGCTAATGCCGGCTACGCTAATGCCGGCTACGCTAACGGCTAGCGGCTAACTTCTGTGTGATCTGAGCCTAAGTGGGCGATAAACGTGATAAAACACTGAAAGATTAGCAAAACAGAGAAGAAGCTGCAGGAGATCAGCTGTTATTGATCTCAATCAATCGATCGGTGAACAGGAGAGGTCACCTGAGGTCACCTGACGTCCTCCCAGTCATGAATGAGCGGTTCTCTGCTGTCACTGTAGTATGTCATATTTACCATATATGGGTTCCAGATATCGATCAGAACCTGTAGGATGAGACAGATTGAAAAAACACTTTAAAGTACCGTAGATGAAGCTGGCGGCGTCGTGAATGTGATCAGACAGCAGAGCGACCAGTTGAAGGCCTGAGCTGGTTTTGCTGTTCCAGGCTGATTTTGGTGTTTTTCTGTGTGTGTGTTCCAGATATCTGGTCTCTGGGGGTGATTCTGTACATGCTGGTCTGCGGCGTCCCTCCGTTCCAGGAAACCAACGACAGCGAGACTCTGGTGATGATCCTGGACTGTCGGTACTCCGTCCCCGAGCACGTCTCACACGACTGCAGAGAGTAAGTTCTGACCCGTAACACGCATGTGCAGAAAAACATGTACGACAATTCACCAAGCACACACCGTTACACACACAAACAGAAGGTGGTTCCACATATTATAAACATATGTTTGCATTTTTATTTGTTTTGAACGAGTCTCCTCATTTGCTCTGCGTTAACACTGTCTGCAGTTCAACTGAAAACACCTTTTATCAAATAGCGAAGAATTTTTGTTTATTTTTTTACTTTATGTCTGTTTGTCGTAACCGAGTCACTGATGGCTTCATAGTTGCGGCAAAGAAAGCAGAATTTTTTCTTTTTTACAGAATCTGATTCATAGAAAGAGTTTATTTTTTGTCGCATTTTTCAGACATGCAGAAAAAGGCGATTTCTTTTTCTTTTTTAAAATTTTTTTTTAATGCTTAAATTTGTGGTCTGTTGAACGCATCTCAAATGAGCAGTTCAAGGACTGTCTGTGGCAGTTTTTTATGGTTTTGAGTTTGTCCCTCTCATAAATAGTGTCATTTCTTTTCTTTTCTAACAGATAACCTGCCTTTTAAACCAGGCAGCAGGTGTTTGGGCTTAAGAAGGTTAAAATATTTCCACAATTTTTTTGTCTCAATATTAAAAGGGAGCCATTTTTGTAGATTTAATCACTAAAGGTGCAGTGAAGAGTGCAGGACTTCTTGTTTTTTACAGTGTCTGGTTCATGAAGACTTTTTATTTTTGGCACATTTTAAAGTAAAACATAGAATAAATCAATCTGAGTACAGAGAACTCGTTAAAAATGTGATTTTTGTTTTTTAGATGGAAGTTTGTTGTCTGTTAAAAAGGCACATCGCAACTGAGTAGTTCAAGGACTGTCAGAAAATTAAAAATTTTATGATTCTTCCTGGTTTTACAGTTTTTTTGCTTTGATAAAATATGTAATTTAGGCAACTTTTTACAAAACAAACGTCTTTTAAACTTGCAAACAAGTTTTGGAGCCACGAAGTTTAAAATTTTTGCACCACTTTAGTGCAAGAATTTTACTTTTTTCTGTCAAAATTAAAAGAGAACTCTTGCAGTATCGTAAATATTTACTTAAAACTAAAAAAGACCGGCAATAATTGATGCTTGAACTTCTAACAATTGTTTACCAGTTGAATTGTTTTGTTCTTTGTGTGAGTTTTTAAATGAGACAAACTGAATTTTGATGAAATGTGACGATTTAAAGTTTAGATTTGGATCATTTCACGTGACAGATGAGAGTCTGAAGATTATTTCTGTTTTTACACTTTCTGCCTCTGAGAAACAATGTAGTTTGGGCGATTTATTTATTTATTTTAAAAACCCCGTCTTGAAACCTGCCGCTGGGTTTTGGGATTCAGGGCGTAGAAGGCGTGAACTCTGCCCGACGTGTTCTGCTGCTGAGGAGACGACCGACGGAGCTGCTGACCGTAAAGATCATCTCGTTAATGTGCGTCTCAGTGGATAATTCCAGTGTCCTAGTTGTCTCCAGTTGATGCTGAATTATCATCTCGTGTTGTCGGCTCAGATCTTTTTCTTTTTTCTGAAGCGCAGAAACACGTGAGTCCTTGAACCTTAAACCGTGTTTGAGTTTTGTGAGAAACACACGAGCTGAGACTCACACGGCCTCCTCAGTCTCCTCACTTCACCTTCACGCCGCCGTCCTCGGCTCGGGAGGAGAAAACCTGCTGCTGCTGCACGTTGGGAGGCTCGGCGGCGACTTACTCTCAACCTCTCGTGCATGAATTATTAAACAACTGAGCGAGGCTTTTTTTTGTCCACGGTTCTTAGTGCTTCTCCAACAAGACCTTAAACACGTCCGACTGGGTTTTTTCAGCATCATTTAAAGCAAAACGCAGCCGTTGGTCGTAGAAGACGATGCAGATCTGGGGTTTAAATGCACTTTAAGCTCAAATACGTCAGATAAACTAAGAGATATCCCCGCAGCTCATCACTTACAAACATGTCTTTAGTTACAAGTTCTCTGGAATGTTCTGCTTATTCATGCAAATGAGGTGATGTCTCGTTAAAAAGGTGCAAATTTGCATAAATGTCCAGAACAGACGTGTGAATATTGGCTACACACAACCTGCAGTTCAGCAGAAAAGTCACTAAATTTTTGTTTTTGGACCGTTTGTCGCAGCTCAGTCACAAATAGCTTCATGAATGCACAGAGAGGTGCAGAATTTTTATTTATTTGCAGAATCTTTTTAGAGCAGGTGGTTTATTGTCAGCGAATTTTTAAATGCAGCAAATTGCAAAAAGTGGAGCATCAGAAAGTGGAAAATGTAGTTTCTGACTGATAAGTTATGTAATTTTTTCGATTGTTTTGAACCCGTTGATGGGATTTTGGAGTTTAGAGAGTTAAAAGAATACAAAAACACATCCAGCAGGGGTTTTTTCAGTGTTATTTTAAGCAAACTAAACAACTGTGCTCTGTAATAGACACTGCATCAATTTTTTAAAATGCACTTTCAGCTAAGAAACCTCAGATGAACTCAGAGATGTTCCCATGAATCCTCCCCAGAGCATTACTTGCATGAAGACAATCTTTTTTTTTTACTACAAGTTCTCTGAAACGTCATGTTTATTCATGCAAATGAGGTATTATCTTGTTAAAAAGGTGTAAATTTGCATAAATGTCCAGAACAGAAGTGTGAATATTGGATAAACACAGTTTGCAGTTCAGCTGAAAAGTTACAGATTTTTTGTTTTTTGATCGTTTGTCGCCATTGAGTCACAAATAACTTCATGAATGCACAGAGAGGTGCAGAATTTTTATTTGTTTACAGACACTAGTTAGAACAAGTGGTTTATTTTCAGTAAATTTTCAAACGACATTCGAAGAATAAAGATTTAATGAAATATCAAGATTTTAAGCTTGGATTCGATTAGTTTCCCCGAATGAACCACAAGCGAGTAGTTCAGGGACTGTCGGAAAGTTTGATAAACTGAGTAATTCTGGCAATTTCTTTAAACCTGTTGACAGTTTGTTTTTTTTAGTTTTTTTGAGACTAAAAAATACTGAAACAGGCCAAACTTCCAGAATCAGAGAAGAAGCAGCAGCTGTTTCTGCTTCGTCCTCTGACCTGAATCATGTTTTTTTCCACTTATTTCTAGTTCAGCTGAAGTTAGAAGGCGACAGGCAGACAAACCCGCAACCACAATAAAGTGGTTTGTGTGATTTTCTGCACCTCCTGGAACATCTGATCCTCGTCATGTGACGGTTCCCCTTTGGTCAAATGATGTGGAATCAGAGCCCTGAACAGAACAGAACAGAACAGAACAGGCTCCTGGACAAACCTGCAGCTTCTTAAGGCTCTAAATCAGATTTTCTGTTTATAGAACTAAAGCAGCACAACTTTTATTCTCAGGCAGTCTGGACGATAACAATAATTAAACACTTGCACAGGAAGAAATGAGTTGACATCAAGTTAGAAGGTGAAAGGATTTGTCCCCACAAGAAAAAAATTAAACAAAAAACCCACAAAAAGGAGCAGCAGCATCATCACAACAAGCTACACACAAAAACAAGACAGCAGAACTTCAATCTTCTCCAATAAACCAAAACAGTAAAACTCGTTCTTCTCTGTCAGTTTGATCTCCAGGATGCTGCAGAAGGATCCGTCCCGTCGGGCCTCTCTGGATGAGATCGAGGCCCACCTCTGGCTGCAGGGGCTGGACGACGCCTTGCTCAGCCCCGAGGCTCCTCCATACTGGCTCTCGGGGGCTCTGTCTCCCAGCTCTCCCCGCTCAGGAGTGCCCGAGTGTGGGGACCTGCTCGCCGCCAGGCCCCCGAACCAGCTGCCGTTCCCCGGAACCTGGCAGCCGAGCCTCAGCTTCACCCTCCGTCCGGCTCCGGCCGAAGAGCCTCCGGTCGCCAAGAACCTGCCGGCTCTGCAGCAGATCTGTGAGGAGGAGGAGGAGGAGGAGGAGGAGGAAGAGGATGAGGAGGATGAGGATGGAGGAGACAGTCAAGAGTGCAGGGACGAGGAAGCAGAGATGGAGGAAGTGATTTCAGACCAGCCGGTGAGTCACGGGGAGCAGCCGCCCGCTCAGACGCCGGAGCTGCCTCCGTCGTCGCCGCCTGGTTTGGGGGTTCGGTGCTGTCAGGGGCAGCCGGACCTCCAGCAGCAGCAGCAGCAGGAGGGTCAGGACGAGGAGACGGAGCCCAACAACAACACCAACAAACCGGCTCCCGTCCTCCCCGCCTCCGACTCCCGCCGCTCCTCCGTCTCCTCCGGCAGCCTGCAGAAGACGGCGGCGGACGGCGAGCGGGACGAGCGAGCGGGAGACCGAGGCGACGTCCAGACGGAGAGACGTCCGAGCCACGAGAGCGCCCCGCGGGCCGAGAAGCGGCACAGCGTCAAGCTCCGCGAGAGACTCTTCCAGTTCCCGCTGTGCGAGAAAGCTCTGGCCTTCAACATCCCGGCGCACAACAAGCCCAAGATCCTGCCGCTGGCTCAGTACAACTGCTGCCACGTCCTGTAGGCCGAGCCGTCCGGAGGCCTTCCTGCCGGTTCTCTGGCGTCGGACTGAAGGCGGCGCGGTAGAAACTCGTCCACTCGCTGCCGTGTGCGGAACCGTAGCGTGAACACAAGACTGGACCTGCAGAGGAGCGAAGGACTGGACAGGTTTTATGGAATAAGCTAAACGGTGTTTGTTTGAAGGTGCCTACTACGATAAACCACGACTGCAGCGCTGAGCAGATCCAGAACGTTTCAGATTTATTATTCAGAATAAACTTTAAACTAGAGCTGCAACTAACGATCATTTTCTTTATTGATCTGCCACTTCCCTGCCTTCACCCTGAGTCAGCTGGGATAGACTCCAGCCCCCCATGACCCTAGTGAGGATTAAGGTGTATAGATGATGGATGGATGGATGGATCTGCCACTTCGGGATGTCCCCAATCTGAGTCAGTTCATATCTAATAGCTGCTGATTCCTACGTGATGCACACTTTACAGGATGTTAAAATTATTTAACTGAATCTGATATAAACGCATGAAAGCTGAACACATTCAGGCCTCCTGCTCCGTTTACTTTTTAAACCATAAACTACGGATATTTATAACAGCATCTGTGAAATTTCAGCGTAATATATCTGCATTTTTTTTTTTTAAATTGCACATGGACTCTTTTTTTTTTTGCACATTGAAATTTGAGGCTTTTTGAAAAACAATATCTCAGGAACTATTAAAGATAAAAGCCTGAAATCTTCTGTTATCTCTATTTTTTTTAATTCAGAAAGTATATCACATAAAGTTCATTCTGTTTCTTGAACCTACAGAATGAAGCCAGAATATGATCAAATGTGGCCATATTAAAAAAATAAATAAAATCTAAGTTATATCTGAAGAACCACTGGATCAGACCAACTACCAGTACATTTGTTTTTGTGGTACAACTTGTCAGTTATGGAAGTTCAATGAAAATAACAAATATTTTCAACCAAATTCTTTTATATTAAGAGGAAAAATGATCCCTTAGATGGTCAGAGCAGTTGGAAAAGCAGCAAACTATGACAAAGAAATGCAAAAAAGATCAGAAATATTTGCAAAATGATGGAAAAGAAACACAAAACCACCACAATTAGGAAAAATGACCCTAAAGATCATTAAAATAGTTGCAAAAATGGCCTCATAGCTACAAACAGATGCAAATGTACTGGCAAAAAATCCACAATGACCACGATGCAGTAGAGAATGACCCAACATGACGATAAAAGAGATGCAAAACAGTTGCATGTAGGCCAAAAATGACCACAAAGATGTGCAAAATGACTGAAAAGAGACACAAAACAACTACAAATATGTGTAAAATGACTAAAGAGAGATACAAAACAACCAACAGAGACACAAACGAGACCACAAATGGGAAAAATGACCTCAAAGACCATTAAAATAGCTGCAAAAATCACCTCATAACTACTAACAGATGCAAAAAACTCTTGACTGACCACGATGCAGTGCAAAGACGTGGAAAATGACTACACAGAGAGACACCATGATGACAACGTGGTGGCAAAGTAGCTGCATATAGACCATAAATGACCACAAAGATGTGCAAAATGACTGTAAAATGACATAAAACCATTACAAATAGATGTAAAATGACTCCAGAGAGTTTAAAACAACCACAGATGGAAAAAAAAATAACCACAAAGATGCACAAAACTGTTGGAAAAAGAGACTAAATACTGAAAAAGAGGTGCAAAATGACCACTAAACAAACACAGGGAGGAAAAACATAATGAAAAATATACTCATATTAAAAGAAGTAAATAAATAACTAAACTCTTATTCATATTTGAACTATTTCGAAGCTTCAGAACTTTGCTCTACTTGGATCAGACTATCTACAGATGTTTATTTAATTCTGTGGTACAACTTGTCTGAACTGCTCTATCAGTTCTGAAGCTTCATCTTCATGACCAAGTATTTCATATTAAAACTATTCTACATGTTCAGTTCTGTATAGTTGTGACCTGCAGCTACATGTGGGTCAGAACACATCCCTGCTTCACTTCTGCTTTATCCACTATTTGTTCATTTATATTCAAACATGGAACTTTTAATTTCTTTTTTCCACCAATTTCAGCTCAATCAGATATTATTTGATCTACTCGTCAAACGTTTTAGTTTCTGAATCAACGACATGATGAGAAACAGCAGAGAACATTTAAGGCTTTTATTTTGAAGAGTTCCTGAGATGTTGTCGTTCAAACTGCCTCAAGTTTCAATGTGTGAAAAACCTGCTGAAAGTTGGCAGTTTTTGAAGAAGAAATTGGGATATTTTCTGCTTAAAAAAATCAAAAACACATTCATAAATATCCGTATTTTATGCTGTAAAGTTTTCAGAGTAGAAAATTTAAGATGATTTCAGATCGAATAACCAACTTTAAATGTAACAGCAGCTCAAAGACGATGAGAACGCTGCAGATTCAGTTATTCTTTTTGGTATTTAAAAGTTAGATTTGTGCCCAACCGGTTAAACAAAGCTCGGATCGGGACGTCCCTACTGCGAACTATTCTCCCAAATATCATAAAGCTGAGAAATCATGTTTAAAAACTACAAGATGCTTCATTAAATGTCTCGTTTTGTGCGACCAAAACCTAAACATATTCAAATAACGATCACTAACGGCAGAAAACGATCACTTTCGGACACTTAGGACCATATTTGGCTTTTTTTTTTTTTTTAGCTTGAAAAATAACCAAATAGTTGCTGATACCTTTTTTTCTTTTCTTTGCACAAGAAGCTGCTTCTCACGTCAGTTTGAAAGCTCCTATAAGCTCCTATAAAGAAAGACTGTTATATGATATATGATATGAAACTGTATGATGTAATTTATCCTGAAGTCTTATGAACAGAACGGCTCGGCGCGGCGTGGAACCGTTGATCCACCGGGATGCAGGTCTTCCGTTGTTCCTTTTTTTTTAAATTCATTTTTGCAGAAACGAAGCTCCTCGATTCTTGTTTTTTTTTTTTTAAACGTGACAAAGATATTAATTCTCTGCAGAGATGTGTGACTTTGTGCATGTCGTTACTTGTTATTTATCACGATATACCTCCATGTGTCTTGGATCTGACGGGACGTTTGTCATTATTCTCGTGTGAACTGTGCGTCGCCACCGACTGATGAAACTACTGCAGCGGCGTCCAACCAACCGGCGGCTTCCGGGGACCGAAGGGGAGATTCGCACCCGACCACACGGCGGCCTGTTGGCTCCGCGTGGTGTCACCTTATCATGTAAACGGCTCTGTGTGTTCTTTCCCTCGTTTCCAAAAGCTCAGACACGAGTTTTGTAGAGCGACAAAAAGGCCAAAGCTGTACAATACGCCACATCCTCACCGCGCGCTTCGGCAAGTCGGGTTTTTAATCTACTGACCTGTGAGAAGGAAGCGACCGTCACGTGAAATCTGATTATGGCTCGCATCTCCTCATCAGCCGTGGAAGCGTAAAATCTGTGCAAAAAAAAAAAGAAGAGAGAGGGATGAAAATCATTTGTTCCCGACTGCAGCCCGTCTGTCTGCTGACCTGCATTGTAACTAGGATCACGTCTGTTTCGGAGCCATGAACTTATTTTTCTGTATTTATTTATTAAAATGGATTAAATCGACTGGACGGGTGTGTGCGGCGTGTTTGTTTCACAGCGACACACATTGGAGGGTAAACACGTCTGTCTGGACGAGGCTTTGTGCGACTTAACCTGCGCCAGATTGGACGCGCAGAAGCCGACGGGACGTTTAGCTCCTGGTTTAGAACTCGGTGGTTGTTGTTGTTTTATTGTCAGACGACGAAGCTTTCCTGTAATATTCCAGGCTTTTAAGACCATTTCTATGAGGTGAACTGATTATATTACTTTAGTGACCTTCAGGAAGGCAGAACAGATCTACACCAGACAGAAAAACAGAGTCCGACGACCGACTGAACAAAACTGGAACATTTTTGAAGTAATTTTCAATGTGCTAATGCAGCTTTTGCCAGCTAATATGTCCCACTATAATTATTCATAATGTATAATATATATAAGTATATCTTATTTAGAGAAGCCAGCATGTTTTACAAACCCTGATCACCACCTTTTAACATCTTTGAGCTTTTATTTTGAAACTACATCAATCAGCCAATCAGCTGTGAGCCACCGGTTCATGCAGTGAGCAGAGCAGCAGACTGAGGATCAGACCCTCGAACAAACGCTCACAGCTCAAAAACTAAAAGTCGTATCCAAGAAATTCTTTCACCAGGTGAAGCTCAATCTTGTTGTGAACACGCTGATGTATTTTTACGTCCGTACTGTGTTTTGTACGGATTTGGTGGCAGGTTAAAGAGACTCACTGTTTCTGGTTTTCGCCAGAGATTTTGTATGGGAGTCAATGAGAGTTCTGGTCGACACTCTGAGCTCTGAGGTGATTTATGGAAAAACTACAAGTCCTACAGCGATGAGACTCACACTGGATGAAAGAGGACAGAAATGCCGTCATTTTTATGTATAAATTGTTCATGTAGAGGAGAAATTATGAGAAGGAGACGAGGTTAACGACCTTTTTTTTTTTTTTGGCCTTTTTTTAGATAGTGTAGTCAGAGAGAGACAGGAAAGTAGGGGAGACGAATGGGGGGAGGACATGTGGGAAAGGGTCATGAGCGGGAATCGAACTCATGACCTCCACATTGGGACTGTAGCCCTGAACATGGGACGTCAGCTCTACCAGGTGAGCTACAGCAGCGATTAGTGACACCTTTGTGATCACATTTTGGTGAGTTTGTGACCTCAGACATCGAGCTCAAGGAAAAAAATCTGGATTTTCAAAAACTTCATAAAACTTAACCTGCGACTGCATGAAAACCATAAAAGATATCAAAACACAGATTTGGATTAATCACATTCAGAGCCGTGCGACCTGTTTAAACTTTAAATGAAGTTTCTGCTGTAAAATCTGCCGGAGCTAGTGGCTTCCAAAGACGGCTGGGTTTAGGTGTTGTCAGGCCCCCTTCGCATTCATTTCAATGGGGATTTTTAACGCAATTTTTTACGAATTTCGTAAAAAAAAAAAAAGTACATCGAATCTCTACCAAAAGACATAACGCACTCCAGATCGAGTCGCACGTTTTGATTTATAATTTGTGGTTTTCTCAAAGTTGCAGGACGAGTTAGGTGCCGACAATCCCGTCAGAAGAATCTCCAAGAATGTTTATGTGTTGTCAGATTAACTAACAAGGTAAACGTAATGTCAGAGGCAGCAGGTCCTCACACATC